ATCATCAATATTAAAACAATAAAAGGCCTGAACTACTTCAGTTGGTGTGCAATGAATCTAAAATATATGAAAGTTTAATGTTTATCAGTACATTACAGAAAATAATGAACTTTATCACAATATGCTAATTTTTTGAGAAGGACCTGTAAACTAATGAATGGATTTCCCATCTGTACTGACGAATACAAACAATATCTGTTTTTAAAATAGAGATTTGGGAAGGACGAGTTCTTCTCATTCCTTTTACAACTTCAAGCTAGCACTGCAACAAAATTAAAGGAATGATGTTACAAACAGGTGGTAGAAATAAGGAACAGCTAGATTAAAAATGTTTGTTTCCAGGAGGAGCAGCACCAAGGATAAAACTCAGGTGTATACAGTATGTCCACCTGTGACTTGTTTGAAGGAGGAGTAATAAGAAATAACAAGAAGTTGCTTTAATGTGCACTGTTGTTCTCTGGCTTTAATAACACAAAAAGGACTATACTGTATGTTGGAATTAAAAAACTAACAGTTTCTTTTCTACTGGTTTAAAATAAATTCCAGGGAAGGCAATGAACCTGGTGACGAGCTGACGGTGACGTACAGAGAGCTGCTCCACAGGGTCTGTCAGTTTGCCAATGTCTTGAAATCACAGGGTAAGTTCAAAGAATTGAACAAGACAATTGTTTTTGTGGCATGTATAGTTCTAAATATAAAATAAGTTCTATATACTGTATAAAATAACATCAATGACAGAGAACGTCTCCCACCCCGTGCATGGAACTGTGGCTGATCTGCAGAGCTCCTTCAGTGACAGACTGCTGCATCCTAAATGCACAAAGGAGCGTTATCRCAGATCATTCCTCCCATCAGCTGTTGGACTCTATAACCATCACTGCTCCCAACAATCTGGATAAGCATCCATGTTTGTGTTTGCACATCAAACAACTCTACATCTCAGTCATTACATAAATAATAACCAGTGGCACTTGTATGTCATTTTTCCTGTACTGGACTTAATGACTGAGTTCGACTCAATTTGCACACCCCCTCGGATCATGAGTCTGTCATGACTGTTTTTCCTATAATTAATATTTTTCTACACAGTATCTTGCCTTATTTTCATTTTTATCTAATTTCATCTTGATAGTCCGTTACAGTAATTATTATTCTTTTTTTTATTTTAATCTATGTTTATTTTTTATGTTACTATCTTTAATTCTATTATTATTGCTACAGTTGATAATGTCATATAGCAACATATTATTTTTGTAGATTGATGTATGTATCTGCTTCTGCTACTACACCTGAATTTCCCACACGGGACAATAAAGGCTGTTTCTATTCTATTCTATTCTATTCTATTCTATTCTATTCTATTCTATTCTATTCTATTCTATTCTATTCTATTCTATTCTATTCTATTCTATTCTATTCTATTCTATTCTATTCTATTCTATTCTATTCTATTCTATTCTATTCTATTCTATTCTATTCTATTCTATTCTATTCTATTCTATTCTATTCTATAACAGGTCACAAGATTAATAATGGACTGAACTTAAACAGCCCTTTATCAAGTCTCTTAAAAAGTGTTATTCAAACAACCATCAGAGGGGGTCTGGGCCCCCTTGTATCTGTATAGATTGTAGCCTGAACAGCCCTCAGCCCTTATTGTCAATGAAGGGCTTCTTACTGAAGTGGAATGGCCCCACTCCAGCAGCACAGCTAACATATTGAGGTAAATAAATCTCAGCTGCTGGCCTGTTAAAACAATTAAACATTGATCCTTAGGAATATTCTGAGAATATGCTGTTCCAGCTACAGGTTTGAATGAACAAATGATCTGTTATTAAAAAGGTCTGATTGGACAGAATTGTATTTATCAAAGTGATTATTAGGTTTTCTTTGCTTGAAGGTTTATTCTAATTGTCGCTGGATTACAGCACATGTCCACTGTAAGCTATAGTGTGCTGTCAGTCCTGGATCAGCAGCATTATGTTGCAATATATTCATCTAGTTAATGTTCTGTTCACAGTGGAAATGTGAAAAAAGTTCCCCTCCTCTCTGTCAGTGCACTGTGTTTTACACTGTGAGAGTTTTACATATTAAAATGGAGCTGCACCCCTTTAGCTGTGTTTAAACTGAAATAAATTCAGGAAACAGCATGAAACTCCACCAGGAGGACAGCAAAACACTGTGCTACAGTTCTTGTAACAGTGACTCAGGATGCAGACATCATTCCTACATGGACGGAGTATTTTTGTCACTTTTCCCAAGCTAAGATGCTAGCTAACAGCTGGATTCCAGGGATGGGATGAGTTGAATTTGACCAGAAAAAAGTGCAACCATGGACTTAACTTCTGCTCCAAACAAATCTGGACCACCTGGATCCTGTCCCTGTACTTTCTGTCCATAAACAGTAAAGTCAACCTTATTGTTTTTACTGTAGCATACTGCTAGCTTTACTCCTAGCATCTATGCTAGCCTCATACATACTTGTAAGTAGGCCTGTCGCGATAGTCAATAAATCAATTAATCGCACGATAAATTATTTTGAGGTCGGTAAAAAAAATGAGGA